ATTAACAAATGATAGCACATCATTATCTTATATAGTTTTGTTCAATCACATTTCACTGTTTTAGTTTATCAGTTGAAATAAGATTCAAAGCAAGGCTGTTACATCCCACACTTTAATCAAACGATCTTGACCCACAGTAACAAGCCGTTTGCCAGTTTCATCGAGATTCATTGCTACAACACTATGTTTTGCATCATGGAAAGTTGCCAAAGAGGGTCTCCTAAAACAAAAATGTATGGTGTAAAACAATGACAAAATGATGTACTCTTCTTGACATATCAACTTGACGTTTCAGAAGGAGGGTAGTTCGACCACGCCACTAAAGGTGACGCCGCAGTTGCAGTTGAAACATTTGGAGATTATAACCGAAGACCACAGCAAAACCCCGAAACCAACCAAAACATCAAACAATTTATTTTACACTCCCATTTCTACTATTGATGTAATCAAACTTGCTTGGACATTTGAAAAATATATCTGTAGTAAATAGATATAATGGGATATCAAACAACTTATTTAAAAAAATATAGTCATAAACTGAGCTTAACCCTGGCATATATAATAAAATGATGAGTTGAACAAAAGATTATCCCAGATAACATCCTTATATGGAAAAATACAGATTTGTGTTATTTATATTTCACATGCCGTCGATAGCGTAAATCAATTCCTTTTTCTCTAGTTAGAATGTTAGATTATACAGCTATAATATTATAAACAAATAACAACAAACTATGTAAAAAATTGATAAAAAAGCATTTGCATTGAAATTCTCATCAAATAATCTTCATGAAACCATCTTAATAACTATTATCCAATATCAATAGCTCTGTGACTGGAATATATGTACCTCTTGATAACTCTGACTAAATTAATTTGATTTACAGCCAGTCTTCAAGTATGCCCACTGAATATGTGTGAAGGTTTATCTTCTTATACAAGATATTAGGCGAATTTTGCATATGCGGTTGGTTAGTATCTTGTTTACCAGATGGAGCGATGACAAAATTGTTTTTTGTCGTTCGCTTCAGCTTGGTTAGAGAAATAATACTCTGGAAGGAATTCGATTTTTAATTATGCAATATCATCAACTTTAGGTTGATGATGGCCACTACCTTGCACTGACGAGAGGCCAAATAGCCCGAAACCGCTCTACTACAAGCACTTGTAGACAGGCCTGAAAAAATTGTTCTTTTGGTTAATTTGATTTACAGCCAGTCTTCAAGTATGCTCACTGAATATATGTGATAATTTTATATACATTGGTATAGTCTTTACTTTGTTATACATACAGGCTTCATATATATAGTGTTGTCATTTCAGATGTGTACTATTTTCTTTTAGCTGGTGAAAGATTTTTCAATTATTTATATTTTTAGATTCTAGGTTACATAATTTCCCTGCAATGATTTCAACATTTTTATATACATTGGTATAGTCTTTACTTTGTTATACATACAGGCTTCATATATATAGTGTTGTCATTTTAGATGTGTACTATTTTCTTTTAGCTGGTGAAAGTTTTTTCAATTATTTATATTTTTAGATTCTAGGTTACATAATTTCCCTGCAATGATTTCAACATTTTTGTCAATTATAGCCTATATGTATTTATACTTCATGCTTTTCAACTGAAAAATGATGATTATTATTTTCAAAGTCGGTTGTGCTTGAAAATCAATGCTACTCAGTTCAAATTATAAATTACTTACTCTTCATCTTTCAGTACATTATGGCATGGTTCACAAACTCTTACTGCAAATTCAAAACCCATCGAAGGTATCGCTATTCTTCCAGTGGAGCATCGCTCGCAAATAGCTTTGCCACAATGGCGACAGTGATGCTGACGCAAACCAAGCTGCCTCTGATCCATCATGGCCCGCAGGTTCCAGAAAAATGGCCTTCCACACAACTGACATAAATCTGATTCCACCCATTCTGGAGTTTCATGTCTGGGTTGATTCATGTCCCAAAAAATAATAACGCTATCTTCACCAGCGCTCACTAACTGTTTTGTGCTGTTTGAATAATGCAGAGCAGACACCTTGAATGAATCATTAAATTATTTTGTAGGGAAAAAATGTAAATAAAAAAACAAGTTTTTCCGAATTTTCATGGGAAAATAGTTTTTATAAAGTCTAATTTCAGTAGCAACCATGAAAACCCATGTTCCATCCCTAAAATTCACCCCATTTCATCCCCCGTACTTTGAATCCACTTAATTTTTTTCATAAGAAGCACACTATTTTTATCTTATATAACCATTATTATGCGATTGTCAATTTGATCCTCTTTAAAAATGTCCTAGAACGCTAAAAAAACTGCACTTTAATGAGGGTGCAAAATTTGTTTTCGCTTAGGGCGCTAAAAACCCTAGAGCCAGCCCTGCTTTTATGAAACAAGGAATTCGTAGTTAAATTCGAAAATTACGAAGAGTGGCGAAAAAACCATCATCTCGAAAACATGAGCGGTAGAAACACCTGGTATTCAAATGTGTCTAAAACAGAACATGGGACAGGATATACAATTTATTGCAAGAGAATTTTACATTTCACTTGCCCATTTGGTCAATACACATCAACCTTCCAGGCCGAACCTAATTGACAAGGAGACTTATCTGGAAATGCAGTGAACAACTGAGGAAACTGGCGGACAGGAATAGATTGACTCTAACACTGGATACCAGAACACTCAGGCATTACAGGCAAAGAAAATGCTGATAAGTGTGTAAGGCACACTCCTTATATAGGCCCTTGATTAGTCGTGGGTTTACCGAAGTTTTTGGTATGGAACTAGAAAGGGATGTGGGTCTATCAGAAATGTATAAAGGGTACTGGCAAATAATACCCAGGAACACAAACGGGAAATCCTTTATAAAAATACTGTCAAGAGAATAATATGAGTTTTTCAGGTTTAATCCAATGAACCTTTTTCCTGAAGTACAGCTCGTTAATTTGAATAGAAATTCGAGAAGAACCACAGTGTCGGAGTTGTTCAAAGTTACTTTTCATGATACTACATAATCAAAATGTTTAGGCTAGTGGAGAAGAATACGTTATTGATTTATTCCTGTACTCTTTCAAAACAAGTGAAACATATTACCCCACCATGTAGAAAATGCTGATTATTATTAATAATTAATCGACATTTATGTATTTATGGTATATCAGTTCATTGTTAAATCATCTTTTTTTCCATTCAAATTATCTTCATGTTTATTTGGAAATGGCATGTCCGCCGACGAGATTAGTCCTATGTCTTTCATTGAAGCTTTCACTGCAAGACAACAAATGGAAAATCAGACCCCAAACACAACGCATTTATGATTCAACACCAGACAGCGCTGTTTCAACCCGCCTCACCAGTGGTGCTAGACTGAAACACAAATGCATTACTGTACTTATCTGTCCCTAAGCTCAAGCCTAAGTAAAGAAGGACGATGACATAACCCCTTATGACAGAGAACTCGATCCTCGAATGTCAAAGCTTAACAAGGCAAAGATGGCATCTACAAAGAACAGATGAGTCAAGCAATGCATTAGTGCATTGATGTGCCTAGCACCACTGATGAGACCTATGGCGGATCGACACAACGAAACACGCTGTCTGGTGTTGAATCATGAATGTTTTGTGTTTGGGCTCCGATTTTCCAAAAAAAAGTAGTTGTTGAAATTTTCAAGATCATTTTTTGGATTCGTTAACCCTTCATTCGTCATAAATTTTCAATCAAAAATACATTTTTAACTTGTGATGCAATGTTTGGATCCTTTAGTATAGTAATGAATATTACTGGAGTTCTATCCCAAGACCAAACCGTTATTATTAACACCTCAATACGTGTTTCAATCACCAAGTGATCATCTTCAAAAGGAATATTGAACTAAATCTTATAAAGATAAAATGTTACTTTGTTTGCAATAGATAAACATAAAAAGAAGAAGTGTACTGAACCTCTACATCTACATCATCATAAAAACATGTTATCGTATTCCAAATAAAAACATGGCATAAATAATGGCAAACCATCTGGTGTACTAGTGCGATTTAGCGACGCTGCCATTCGTAGGAAAGTTTTGGAGAATCGAAAATATTTGAAATCTTCTGGTCCAAGAAGACCTGACCAAAATGAGGGTGACTTTGATGAAGAAAGCGTTAGAGAATGTCCCAAGAAAAAATGTGTGGACCTTCAATGGGAATATCTTCGTGAAAATTAATAATAAAGTACATCGTCTTGAAACTGAAACACAACTGGAAATACTTCGTAAAACAACATCTGTAACATGATTGACACATTATCTGTACCTGAACAATTTTAAGTCATGTAACCGATTAACTAAATTTGGGTTTAACTTATAGTTATTATTATGTAATTTTCAGTAATATACATTTTCTTATTTTATAGCCTTCTTAATCTTAGAATTACGCTTTTAATATATTACTACATTTCATTAGCCTATTTTGTTGTTTATGTTAAAGTTATTATGTTAGTAAGTACTTTGTGATTTTCAGTATTATTTATCTTTTTTTTTCATAGCATCCTCAAGCTTAACATTATATTTATTGATAAATTATTTGCTACACTTCATGATTTCAATAGAATTATGTTTTTTTATCCTGTCAAAAATGTAACCCATATTACCTATATATTTATAAAATGGAGTTTTTTTTAATAAATTGTCAATTTTTGTAGAAATTTTTTAAGAGGCAGATTTGCTACATCACTTTATTTCTTTTGCTTGTTGACAGGTGTTACAGGGTTACTCAGTTCACTATTTATTTAAACTTCACTCTGCATTTTTGTCTCGTTTTTCTCTAACTTCTCTTTCTTTTCCTTCTCTTTAAAAATTAGTTAATTACCATAATGTTGAATATATGTCATATGAATGTCAGATCCTTACCATCAAAATTTAATGAATTTCATAATCAGATTCTTGCTGGGGACTATGATATTGTGGGAGTAACAGAAACATGGATGCATGCAGGTATTGACAGCAGTAATGTAAGTTCTGTTCCTTAAATATTTTTACGCAAAGATAGTTTCAAATATGAAATTATTTTTGAGTCAATGCAGTGAACAGGTGGAATGTATTTGGATAAAACTGAACGTGGGTAAGAATAACTTTACCTATAGGTATCGGAATTGTTTATAGGCCACCTAATTCGAACTTAACATTGAAGAAATTGAAGAAATATTCACCAATATATATTCAAATTACAGTGATATAAAATGTTTAGGTGATTTTAATATCAATATGTTAGATCCCAGTTCAAATAACTCAGAGAGGTTTCAAACGGTATTAGAAATATTTAATTTCAGGCAGGTTGTTTCGGAACCGACAAGAATTACGTGAACATCTTCTTCACTGCTAGACTTAATAATTACAAATATTGATAAAGTTTATAAAATGAATGTTATACGCAATGATCTTTCAGATCATGCATTGACAAAGGCTAAAATTACTATATGAAACTGTAGATATAGATGTTACATTAAATCTCATGAATGATTTCATTACAAAAACTCTTGATTATCATTCGCCAAAAAAAAAACTATCTTTTTGAAGAAACAAAATTACACTCCTTGGATCACTGAGAACATAAGACTGATGCAGAAATTGAGAGACAAAGCATTAACTCGATTCAAGAAACAAAACTAGCACACCATTGGGATTACTATAAACAACTGAGGAATTATACTAATACAGCTATACATTACGAGAAAAGGTCATACTTAAACTACAAACTACGTAATACTGAAAGTAAGTGTAGATGGCAAGAACTTAAGAAATTGAAAGTTGCGAATAGTAAAAATGAAGAACTCCCTGAAATCTTGAAAAATGTAGAAGCTATTAGCGATTTTATTTCAACTATGTCTCAAAGAGATATCCCACCGGATGAAGACTCACTGCGCTTTTATGGCATGAACAGAAAAGAAGGTATATGTGATCAATTCATTTTTTCACCAACTGCTGAAGATGAAATCTTTAGCATCATAAATAGCATAAAAGCACAAGCATAAGGGGTAGATGAAATCAATATAAATATTATAAAAATTTGTTGTCCTTTCATTATAACGGTATTAACTCACATAATAAACGAATGCATAAGTCAAAGTTATTTTCCTAATGCATGGAAATGTGCAAAAATTATACCCCTGCCAAAAAATAATCGTTACAATATTTTGCCACATAAACAGTCAGGTTTTACAAAAGGTTATAGTTGTGCAACAGCATTATTAGAGATCGTAGATGACATAATTAAAGCTATAGATAAAAATGAAGCCACCATTTTGATTCTGTTGGATTAATAAAAACCATTTGACACCATCAATCATAAAATACTTTGTGCTATATTACATTTTTTGGGTTCAGTGATGGATCAGTGATGTTGATATCATCTTATCTAGATAATAGATTACAACAAGTACAGATTCATGATATTTCTTCTACTTGGAGAGAAGTCAAAACAGGAGTACCCCAAGGCAGCATTTTAGGCCCACTGTTTTATACCCTCTATACTGCCACATTCATCAATAAGATGAAGTCTTGTAAATATCACCTTTATGCAGATGACTCTCAATTATATTTATCTTTCAAATCTTCAGATATAGGTCAAGCAGTAACGATTCTAAAAGTGTCCACTGACCATATGTTGAAAATCAATCCAAACAAATCAGTAGCTATTATTTTTGGAAGTGATAGCATCAGGAAAGAAGTAAAAAACTACAGCTTGAAAATGGGAAACTCTTGAGATACAATTCAGACCGTATTCAAAAAATTTGGGGTTGATTTTTGATCATAAACTGAGATTTCATGAACATATAACCTACAAACTTAAAATTGCTTATTCATCATTGAAACTCATATATCCCCATAGACAATATTTGGATGTAGATGTCAAGAAAATGCTCTGTGATTCATTAGTTTTATCTCATTTCAACCACTGTGACGCTGTTTATCATTCATGTTTAGACAAGAACGATAGGTGTCGCATACAAAAAGTTCAAAACCAAAACTCTTGTATCAGGTTAATATTTGGTATCAGAAGAAGGTCCAGAATTTCACACAAATTAGCAGATTTGAAGTGGTTGAATATGTTTAATCGTAGACGTCTTCATGCAACATGCATATTCTTTAAAATATTCAAATATAGGAATCCTCCCTACTTATATGAACATTTGTCTTATGGAACGAATATCCATAACCTGAATTTGCGTAAAAAGACAGTGCTAAACATTTCTGTACATAAAAAGGAAATATTCAAACGATCTTTTTCCTACAATATCTCCTCCACAATAAATTATCTCCATAAATGGGAAAACAATTGTTTTAACATATCAGATACTGTTTTCAAAAGTAGGTTTAAACAGCATCTGTTCAGCATTCAGAATAACTAGGTCCGCGGCGAGAATCCTGAAATAGGTTTTAGCTATTCACATATCTATATCTTTATATTACCTCCTCTTTTTTTTCCTTTTTTTTTCTTTTCTTTCTTCTTTTCTTCTCTTCAAGCCCTCATTTATTTACTTTTATACTTTTTCGGCATTGGAGGAAGAGCTGACGCAAAAGTAAATTCGCGGTCTTAACGAAAAGCCATTTGCAATCAAATACAAAGTGTTTTTATTTTACTCTCTCTTGTATTTTGTTTTTTGTTGTTATCTTGTATTTTGATGGGCAATAAACTTATTATTATTATCTGAATGCATTTGTTTTCACAGAGTTTGACCAAAATTTTTTCATGAAGGAGCATATCAAGTTGCAAAACTTTTATTGAGTCTAATTATTCATAAACTTGTCTTATTAATGAATTTTGTCTATAATTGAAGTAAATGGTTTGACCTTTTTTCATATACCAAGCTTTCTTAAAATCGCAAACGTTTCGGAACTTGAATATACATATTTCCAAACGAGGCATTTCAAATCAATTTGTTTTAGGTTTTGGAAATGGAAAGGAACTCTCTTCCAAAACATTAGACATTTTGAGAAAACTAAATATATAAAAAAAATTCCAATCATTTATTTTATTTCTAGGTGAAACTTATAAATTTGGAAAGGACCACGCACAAAGCTCATGGAAATTGGATTCTGTAAGTTTTATTTACTTCATCCGCTACTGAACTAATATTTCAACCGGTATCATGTTTTTTTTATCAAGTTACTAGTTGTCTATTGGTTGTCATGATGACATATCATTAGTAATGTCTGTACTCATGTAATGTATACATGGTAAATAAAAGATTTTTCTAAAGTTTGAATCTTTTGCTTGTTAATTTGATATCTCATACCTCTCTGATGGCTTTTATTCAAAATCAAAGACATTTTTTCATATGCAACAATATTTTCTTTATACAACGAACGGTAAAATTAGATGGGGTAAATACTGAAGAAAAACGGGAGATTGCTATTCAACAGATATTCCCATTGACAACTCCACAAGACTGCCTGAATTATAATAGGACAGTAATGGAAGAGATAACTGCTTTGAAAGAAGACTAAACGTTTCTTAAGCTGAATATTTTGTAACAAACTTTGAGCGAATCTATAGACTCAATCTAAATCGGTCAACTCTGAAGTGCCGAGTCAATGTTTTCGTATTGAAAAACATTTATATAAGATTTAATACTAGATCTTGCATACATCACTTGGATGAGAACGGTTTTTTCCTAAGAGAAATTCTTCCTGGGATGCAGTTCAATTTTCGATCATGTAGAATGAAAAAAAAAATTTGGTGGCTTCCTTGCAAGAACTTAGGAATATACAGAACATGCCACAATGGGATTACCAGGATGAAGAGAATTTCACAGATGAAGAATTCAAATCGATGATTCCAATGAATAAGGATCACTTCCGCAATATCCATACCTACTGCAATTTTGTACCAGTAGAAGGTGGAGACGTATATTTATAAAAAAGATCTGGCTTTTTTGTGCAAACTTAAACAAGGGCTCTCCGACGACTTTTTGAAAGTCATTTTCAAATATCCTTCACGGTAATGCACAAATATAGTAATTTCAAATGTGAGAAGATCGCTTGCACAAAGATTCGTCCCAGAAAATATTGATTTCGGTTCAATCACTCAGAAAAAATACATTCAACGCCATGTTAATCAGTTCACAAATATATTATATAATTCAAATCCTGAATAGCAAAAAGCCATTGCATACATAGATGGAACCTATTGTGAAGTGGAAAAAAGCAAGAATTTCAAAGTACTCTGTCAGTCTTACTGCAGACACAAAAATTACAATTTATTGAAGCCAACATTAATTGTTGCTCCCAACGGTTATATTTTGTCAATTCAAGGACCTTACTTTTCTGACCCCAGAAACAACGACGCGTCAACTTTGCGAAATGGGATAAGAAACTGATTTGTTGAGGAAGACATTTTTGTTGTCAATCGTAGTTATAGAGACGTCGTTCCTCTTCTGGAAGAATTAGATACTGTGCATAAAATGTTCTACAGAGTAAAGAATGGACAACAACCTACTACTACTCTCGCCACGTGACCAAAACCCGGTAGATATTTGAAGCGTGCAATGGACACATGAAATCAATCTTTAAGTTTTTTTGACTCATCACCTTTATCATATGAAGGACTTCCTTCTTATTGGTGGAGCAATTATTAACAAATACCACCCAATTTATATGAGAGGAAATCTCGCCAGATGAATAGGGTATAGAACATAGTAGAGGAAGAAAATCTCAGGAGGAGACGGGAAAGATGGATACCATTGGACCATCATCATTTTCCTTATTTTCCCAGAATGACTCTCGACTATTTACGAGATTTGACTGTCGGAACATATCAATTGAGACTTGCTCCATCTTATGTACAAGATGCAAATCAGAGGAAAGCACCAAATGAACTTCATTTCGATGATATTTCACTTCGATATCCCGGATTACTTTGTTCGGGAGTTTTTTCCCGTCATCGCAATGACACAAAATATATAATGTGGATACAGTGCACAAATGAAAATGATAACCCTACAACAGGTTATTGTTGTACTTGTAAGGTAGGTGCCAGAACACTGGGCACATGTGCTCATATATCAAGTGTTCTTTGGTTCATTGGATACGCCAGACATCAACCAAATGTCAAGTATTCGTTAACAAATTTGTTGGAATTACATTATCGATGCGGGAAATCAAAATGGAAATGAGGTGGAACCTAATATCATTGACTGAATGCGCTTCAGTTTGTGCAACAAACTTTTCAATGGTATTTTGTTAATTAATATTCATTTCAGTGTATATTATTTGTTTTATTGAAATTCCACAAAGTGTTATTCTTTCTTATTAGTCAGTGGGATATGCTTGAAGACAGGCAGTAAACAAGTCTAAAGAAATTAACTTTAAATGTTCAAACCCGTCTCGGATATACCTACATAGTAGGTTGAATGGACTGACGCCTATCAGAAAACAACTACTCCACTGGCTAAAACCACGAACGGCGTGTTATTCTTCAATAAATCTTGCGACACATTTTTCATACATATTCTTTACTACAATTGACTTCCATTATTGTTCCCTGTATCACCCCCTATATATAAATCAATTGAATCATTTTCTAATAACCGTATCCATTGACTAAATTTCTCACAATCTATTGTTTTCAAAATGTTATGAAAATGATTGTTTCATTCCTCGGATTATGGCTTTATGCGTCACCCTGTATGGTCTGCAAAGCGTGCAGTAAAGACACAATACCCATGAAAGAATTGCTAAAATGTATGCTACAATTTCCGAGAAGCATGAAGTTGCAAAATAACACGGCCTATTTCTTCCGTTTTACTACCAAATTCCCCATTTTGCCGACTTTGAGCATATTTTTTTTCAAAAAATGTCTATTATTTTTCGTTGTGCCCGTGAAAACTTTTGATCAGGGCATTGAAAAGTTCGTCATCTAAAAAAATCAGCAGAATTCACCGAAAGCCATTTTCCATAAGGTTTGTGCGTGGTCCTTTATTGGTAAAATTTTGTGGATTATAATAAAATATAGCTTTTCGGGGTGGGTTTGCCCTTTATTTTCTAGATTCTAAATTTATTCTTCACTTTAATCTTCCTTTTGAAGATGATCACTTGTTGATTGAAACACGTTTTGTTGTGTTGAAAATAACGGTTGGGTGTTGGGATAGAACTCCTGTAATATTCAACAAATACTTTTGGGAAAGAAAGTTTTTGGCTTTCTACTACTACATCTTGATAAAAAAAAATGTGGGAATCTTCCAAAGAAAGGAAGGAAGTAATCAATTTGAAAATAAGTAACTATACATGGATATGTAGATCATGCAAAGAAGCAACTTTCAGACACAAACTGGAAGAAAGTCCTCCTGAAACAGCTACTTTCCCAAAAATGAATCACTCCTAAAAATATAACCCCTTCAATTCAACCCCTTCATTCAACCCCTTCAATTCAACTTCATATAACCCCTTCAACAATTCATTTAGGTAAAATATATATGTAAGAGTTTACCCCATCTTTTTATAGCTAATTTACTCAACCCTGTGAGAAAAACAATTTATTGGGCGACAGCGAAAAAGCACAGAAGTCATGGCCGATTTATTTGAGTACATATATCTCTAAGATTGTAGATAATTTCGTTAGTCAAATAAAATCCACGATGAAGTGCACACATTGTGGACACTCATTTGTAACCTTCAATCCTTTCTGGGATTTGTCACTCCCCATACCAGAAAGAACTAACCAATTGAGTTTATCACAGTGCTTGGATTTCTTCACAAGAGAGGAAACTTTGGATAGACATGAAAAACCGACGTGTTCAAGTTGCAAAGAAAGAAGAAGTCTCTATCGATCCATAAGTTTCCCCATATTTTAGTTATTCATTTTAAAAGATTTTCTCTAAGAGAAAGATTTAGAGGCAAGTTAAATGTTGCCATCGAATTTCCTCTAGATGGATTAGATATGAACAATTATGCAGCAGATAATGTGACTCCTTTCACAGTGGGTCTACCTACAGCGGACATTATACAGCATTCTGCAGACATCCTTATAATGGCACGTGACACGAATACAATGATTAACAAGTGTCACCAATTTCACCAAAATCGCTTGTGAGTGGAGATGCATGCATCCTCTTTTATGAAGAGGAGGAAACGAGTTCGCACATTTGAACGTTTTGTAAAGTCATTTTTGAACTGTTCATTTAAATGTTATGCATTATCTAGTTAAATGTTTTAAATAATTAAATTTATTGACTTTAATAGGCAAATTTTTGATACCTTGGCATACATTATTGCCATTTTTGTAAGTATTATGAAATTTTTGGAGAATATAATACAACCCAAGATGAAAATCCATTATAAGGTATTCAAGAAAAACACACTTCAATGTGAGATTATCACTTAACAGTTTACAAAACTGCAATACGTGGGTATTGTTGACGCCTGCAGATGCATTTTATAGCGAAAATGTGTCGCGGTTTCGTAAACTGTCAAGTAAATATCTCACATTAAAGTGTGTTTATGAATACAACATATATTCAGAATCTAGATAATAAAGGGCAAACCCAACCTGAAAAGCTATATTTTAATATAAACCATATGATTTTCTTGGTGAATTATTCCAATATTTCTACCAGTTTGGGTGCAGTTGAACGAAAACACCTTGTCTCTACCAACACTCAAGACCCATTCACAATTTATGGCAAATATAATTTCTGTAACTCTCGCTTGATGTGCTAAATATTCTTTGGTTGGTATCATTCTATTGAAATCAGAAGCCAGAGTAAACTCTGAAACAGTCCCATTTTCTTGTCCTATGAAAAGTTGTTTGGTCTCAACAGTGTAATAAATAGAAGTCGTCCCACTTGGCATGTATTGACAAATACTGGGCCAGTACTGACCCGAGTCTCGTTTGAGCCATACTCGAACCGTCCTTAAAAGAATAAATGATACATGGGAAAATAATGCAATTTTTACTCACTTATCATCTGAAACACTGATAATTCCTTCTTCCCCTGGTATAAGAACGGCTGCATTAATATCGTCGCTACAAGAATCTAGTTTTGATAATAGAACAGGCTTTTTCGCTGTGCAGAATCTCTCATTTGATTGAGTTGCAGGTTTAATTTCGGCTGCCATATTTTTTGTTTGTTTTTGATGTTTGCAGTTTGACGGGACAATTCTACATAGTATTCTGTATTCTGTGAAAATTCTTCACTTCTCTCATTTACGTCATTCACAAAACAGTAATTGTCAATATGTCGATTGACGTTGAGTCAATATCCTATTCAAGATGCATAGAATATCATTGGTGTGATTGCTTGTCAAAAAATCCCACCAACTGCATTCTTGATGAAGAAATAATAAAGAAATCCAATAAATTTCAGCATTTACTCACTGAGGTGCTGAGTACAACCCAAGTGACGCAATTTGACAATGTTAAATTGGCACTTTGTTTCCAAAACCTAAAAAAATATTGCTTGAAAATGCCTCGATTGGAAATATGTACATTCAAGTTCCGATACGTTTGTAATTTTAAGAAAGCTAGGTATATGAAAAACGTTCAGATCATTAACTTCAATTATAGACAAAATTTATGAATAAAGCAAGTTTCTAACTAATTTAACCCAATAAAAGTTTTTCAGTTCCTTTACACTTCTTTGTATCTAATGTGTTGATATATTGCAAATAAACTAACATTTTCTCTTTATAAGATTGGTTTAAATTTGGATATTTACAGGTACTCATATGAAATAAATTTTATTGAAAACTAATAATCATTCAAGACATCAAAAAGGAATAATGAAACCACCTGTCAGATGTCTTTGAATAAATAAAGAAAAATCAGAGAGGTAATCATTTTTCAATCCTACCAAGTTATATACAATACGAAAAATTGAATACACCTTCAGCCAAACGCATTTTTTCCTGGGTAGAAGCTCAATATAGGAAAAACATGTTAATATTAAAAAGTATTATTCCCAAAAAACTAAAAACAGTTAATGAATACTTTTTTAGAACTGTACCTTGTTGTAATGCCCTTGCTAATATTGAAAAGTTTTATTCCCAAAAAACTAAAAACAGTTAATGAACATTTTTTAGAGCTGTACCTTGTTGTGATGTCCTTGTAGTTCATAAGCATTGCCTTGTTGTCCCCCAATATCCCATACAATCACAGTATGATCAAAAGAACCACTAAAGAGCATTTGTCTGTCTCCATCCCAAGCAAGTGATCGAATTGACCCTGAATGGCCTTTCAATGTTGTGATCACAGTAGCCCCATTATTGTCTAGTTTTAGCATAGTTATGTGTCCTGAATAGTCTCCAACAAAAGCATGTTTGGTTTGTGCGTCAAATCTGTGAATGTTGAGGATAGTAAGGATAATTATTCAGAGGTGATTATAACAGGTAAAGTGTACTACAGAGATAAATCTTTAGGTGTTAATGATCAACACATTATAATCACGATGGATATATACAGAAATGAATGTATTTCATTGAACAAGTCATTTCTTGTGGAGGAAATCAGTTTTTTAAAGCGGTTACGAGTTTGACTCCCGATCCAAAGATTGTGTGTTTTAACTCAACTTCAACTAGATACTCTTCTTGAGAGAATTTTTCTAGTTGAAGATAAGTTGATTCTGCTACGTTACATGGCTAACCGGACTGCTGATAGCCATGATTGTCCATAAATGACAGAGAGTCATTAACATCTCGCCAAAAAAATACCCCAACTGCTGATGCTAATTCATACAGTGTGACCAGTAAGTTTGCACCATATGATTTCTTTAATAATAACTTTTCGAAATTTTACTTCGACATCAATCTCTGTTTCGATCAAGATGATAAATAACCCCCTAAAATAAAGTCAGGTGATTCACATTCGGAGTCATTAAAGTATTACGTAAGCACCAACAAGACTTTGCTTCACTTACTTTCAACATATATATTGATGTTCATGTGAGCAGGGGGAGAGAGATTTCTTTACTTTCGCTTACAAAGAGGAGGGTGGGGGCTAATAATGACTAAAATTCTGCTTACGTAATACTTGTATAATACCTCATCTGTCAAATTTTTATTTTTTTCTAAAACTGTGCAACTACTGTAAGTCAGGACCAAAAGGCTTTCATAGAGTAATAACTTGATAACTGTAGCAGTCAACGTGATTGATACTCTAATAGTGCTAAGTTGTAAGGCTATATGAACTGAAAAAGGATACTGCAAAGCTGTACACCATGCCTCAGCATTAAATATTCCAATATTTCTACCAGTTTGGGTGCAGTTGAACGAAAACACCTTGTCTCTACCAACACTCAAGACCCATTCACAATTTATGGCAAATATAATTTCTGTAACTCTCGCTTGATGTGCTAAATATTCTTTGGTTGGTATCATTCTATTGAAATCAGAAGCCAGAGTAAACTCTGAAACAGTCCCATTTTCTTGTCCTATGAAAAGTTGTTTGGTCTCAACAGTGTAATAAATAGAAGTCGTCCCACTTGGCATGTATTGACAAATACTGGGCCAGTACTGACCCGAGTCTCGTTTGAGCCATACTCGAACCGTCCTTAAAAGAATAAATGATACATGGGAAAATAATGCAATTTTTACTCACTTATCATCTGAAACACTGATAATTCCTTCTTCCCCTGGTATAAGAACGGCTGCATTAATATCGTCGCTACAAGAATCTAGTTTTGATAATAGAACAGGCTTTTTCGCTGTGCAGAATCTCTCATTTGATTGAGTTGCAGGTTTAATTTCGGCTGCCATATTTTTTGTTTGTTTTTGATGTTTGCAGTTTGACGGGACAATTCTACATAGTATTCTGTATTCTGTGAAAATTCTTCACTTCTCTCATTTACGTCATTCACAAAACAGTAATTGTCAATATGTCGATTGACGTTGAGTCAATATCCTATTCAAGATGCATAGAATATCATTGGTGTGATTGCTTGTCAAAAAATCCCACCAACTGCATTCTTGATGAAGAAATAATAAAGAAATCCAATAAATTTCAGCATTTACTCACTGAGGTGCTGAGTACAACCCAAGTGACGCAATTTGACAATGTTAAATTGGCACTTTAATTTTCAATGTTTACATTTGGGAATAAATTGATTAGGTGAAATATTTTTTTATATTATGGTCGATAAATTGAAGATCTAAACACAAAATAGTTCAATGTCATTTCTTGAGTTGAGAATATTTGATAAAACCGTAGTATAATTATCTTTATACTATGGTAAAACTAAAGCGAATCGGGGTAAACACCAGGGTCTATGAATCTTTATCCGGTTGTATTCAAGGTTCCTAGTTCAACGATGAGCTCATCACCAACTTTTTTCTTTCTATTGATTGATGGAATAAAGTTTAGATGTTCATCATATTCTCAAATCCACAATGTACAGTAACTATATCTATCTTAAATCGATAATAATGTGATTAGTTACAGCGATTCCACACAGGTTTGTAGACGACTGTCTCTCCTCGCGACAGTTGGAACTTGACTCCCAGGAAGTGAAAAGCCTCAACCTCACTTTTCATAATGCAATTTGGTAATTTCGACTTGAAACTTGAAATTTGGACGTTTTCTAAATTATTACTTACCCTACCCTCCCAAACATATTCCCAATCACGAAGTTAAATCACGGAAAAAACTTAAATTCGTTTTTTAGGTTAGACATATAAAAAAGAAATAATTATTGTGGCCCTTCCATGTGCAACAATCAATAATTGGAAAAAAAAATGAAGGGAAAACGAGGCGCAATAGATGACTTAGATGCAGGGCCATCGCCATGGGAGGGAACCTCCCCCCCTGCTTTTTTCACTTGGGAAATTTTGGGCCGTGAAGATAAAAAAATAATAGTAAGAAAATTGAAAAAAAAATTAAAAATTAAAATAAGAGAAAAGAAAAGGAGAGGTAATAAGAAAAAGGAAAGAACCAGGAGAAGATTGGGATTTCCCAACATGCATAACTTGGAGATACTTCTGAGTTGTTTGAAAACTTCGTCCCTGCTTAGATTAATGTATATGTATAGGAACACGTGTACTCGTGTTTGTATTTAAAATTAAATTTTTTATTATGTTTCATGTTATCTTATGAAATATGTATTTGTCAATTTCTATAAGTGTTTAGTCCATGTTTAAAAGAAAAATATTATGGATTTGTCTGTTAAATTAGTTACCACCTTCGGCACTCCTACTGTATTGACGAAAACTGGATTTTCCTATTGCTGGGGATATTGAATCCGTTGCGGGAAATGGAAAATGACAAATTCATTTGAACTCTTCATTCTCCACCTTCAGGCTGATACCAATAAGCCTGACGTAGGTAGTCCTTCCCGTTCATCTTAGTAAGACGATATTAGTAGTTCCGATTATCCTCTTAAAAGGGGCGGAATAACGGATAAAATAGCAAAAACAATTTGTTGAAATAATTATCCTGATTGTAGGAATTCTGAACGGAACGATGTTTTGTCCATACACTCGCTTGTTGATAACCGGAAGTTTGCAGAAACCGTTGTCGAAATGCAGAAGGTTGTCGTTCATAGTACGCTATATCTTATTCTCAGTGCACTCGATTTTCGGATACAGTGACCACTCACCCTACAATAATGCCGACACACTCGCAGGAAAGATATGGGCTTCGACCTAGCATCCTTTTCAAGAGTAAAAGTGATACTATATTTCAATTTGAAAATTTATCCAGCAGACAATTCTAAAATTCTCTGAGAAGATGTCACTGTGTATCATCTGTTTCACACTAGGAATCACATGTTGAAAAATAAAATCCTTGTTAATCTTTAGCTTGCACAAATCTCGACTTTTGCAGGTTCTCATTCTTATGAGGATAATAGTTGTTTAACCCATTCAAATTAGTAACAAAATCAATTCTCAAAGGGTATAAAGTACTCATTAACCAAAAACTATTAGTTGTTGAGAGTAGAGTATGTTGCTATACTTACTAAGCAACACACTTTCTGAAGTTTACAATGAAACTGGCCTGTTATCAGAGGACTATCTGGTAAGATTTTTCCATTTCTCATTCACAACATAGTTATATTGATATAGGGTTGAGCTCACAGTAGGTGTAAAATGAATTGAGAACTAATCAGGTAGCATAAATATAAGTTCATCTGTAGATTGAACACATACTTGAACAAATAAAAACAATAAAACACATTATCTATTGGAAGATTTATTGTAATCTTTGGTAACATCAATTTTTAATCTATATTTACAAATGTGAAAAATGATCTAGTAATAAGTAACAAATAACTCTCATTTATCACAAATTACATAACTCCCAGCAGATAGGTCAACTTTGTCAATAACTTTGCTCTTCCTGACTGAATACATTGGCCTGAACCATTGAAATCATCAATATATGAACCAAGTGAATGCCTTAATATTTTTTTATAGAAATAACATAATCCTATCTGATGGGGGCATAGGTGTGTAACTGTGTAATCTCATAAAGTTTCCAAAAACATATCAACAATAATAAACAAATCGTTTAAGTTCATATGGCTTGCTAAAGGGACTAGAACAAGTGTGAATATCAATCGATGGAAACTTTTTAGATGTTGATAAAATGAGATTTTTAAGTGACAGATCAGCAAAATATCATAACACCAGAATTGAAAGGAAATATCGCCTAATATTTTTGTCATGAAAATATGTATCAAGTACAAGTACAAGAAATTTAAATTGATCCTCAATCCAGTTGAAGTCATTAAAAATTTAACATATCAGTCCCCAAGGTTCATGTCTATCATATATTTCATTCATTTTTCACTCCAAATCCATTCTTATTTTGCATTTTGCTAGAAATCTTCATCTTTGAAGGGTTCCTTTCAAAATATTCTGGTATGTATTTATTATACAAAACACAACCAATCACACAACCAACTGACACTATAAACATAATGAACATCCAAATAATCAAATTAACCACTTGCGTCCTCTCAAACAGTGACTGTCCGTGTTTTATACAAATCAATGCCTCACATACCATTATACAACCAAACACCCAACACTGGGTACCTACTCTTTTACATGAAGTATCTGTTACGTAGCAGTAGTACTGTCTCACAGATGGAGCCACTATAACCCCTACCAAAATCAACCGCCCTGTGACCAAGTAATGAGAAGGTGGCAATTCAAATACATGCTTGATAAAAAATGTGTTGAGTTCGATCACTTGCCAAAATACAACCAACTGACACAATGCAAATATTCTCATATAGGAACACTTTGGGTCTAACCATCTAACAGAAGTCCAGCTCTCAGGGGTAAATTGTAACATGGCTCGTTTGATTTTTCCCTTTGTACTATGGATATCTTTTATGCTAACCCATTTATATTCACGCATTTCAAGTTTTTTGCATAAGAACATTCCACACCAAATTCCACAACCGTTGCATATTAAGACATCTAAAATGAGTGCGTCCCACCAGCATTCAATGAAGTTTGGTAATAAGTGGGCAAAAGCTAGTTCTGTGATTTCCCACATACAACTTATTGCCCAAAGAATACCCATGTGTCTAATAAGAACAGCTTTGAACATCCATCCAAAAAAATGACCCACAGCAAAAACATCGACATGGCTCCAGATCCTTTCAACTGTTATGTCCGAACAGTTAACACCGTATTCCTTATCCAAATCTATACTGAAGTTTTTCAATGAAGGGTCCATCCAAAAAAGAACATTCCTGACTGTCTTGTAGTCTTGAAAAAGTACAAAAAGGCAAACCAATAAGTAGATCACACTCAAGCCAAATACCACTCGCCATACTGCTGGGTGGGGGCGGATAAAGGGTCCATTTGGAAATGCCAAGACTGATATTATAAGGAAAAAATAGCAGCACACCTTCAGGCCTGTCCAGATGTTGTTTTCAATGTTATCTGTGTCTCTGAAATTAGAAAAAGTTACCCAATATCTGAAGGTTTGACATTATATATGATAATATAATGAATTTATCGAGGTGTCAATTAAACTATGCAACACCAATCAATTTGAAAAGTAGATACAAATTCTGTTACTCAATGTAGCAGAAGTATTTCAGTTAGAAATTGAAATACCTTTTAAATTCATATTCAAAAGAGTTATTAGTAATTGTAGTAATTAAATAATTAATTAAATTAGTTCCGGAAAAGTAATACTCATTTTCAAAAAAAGGGAACCAACATCAATGGAAAATTATTGCCTTATTTGGTAGCTTGTGAACTTTCTAAAGTCTATATGCTTTTCTTGAACGCTTCTGTTCATTTTTAAATAAACAATTCATTTCAGGTCAAATGCACCATGGATTTCAATAAAAACAACAAATACGGCAATATTTCCATTATTAAATAAAATTCTGGGATATGTTAATGGAGGGGAAAGCCCAGCCGTGATTTTTTGTGATTTTAGTAGCCGGTCGGTCGGTAGCCGGGCGGTTCAATGTGGGTGCTTTGTTCACTCAGTCAATCGGCCGATTTGTGAGTCGATGGTTCAAGTCCCAGGTTGAACGCTAGATTCTCACTTGCTATCGTCCAACCCGTGTTGAGAATCATACGTTAAAAGGTAAGACCTCGTTAGTCCATAGCTCGCACAAGTTTCGACTAATGAGGGTTGTCGTTCGTAGGGGGTGCGATAGCTGATTAACGGAAAAAACATTCTAAACATATTTTAATATGAATGTGTTGATCATAACAAATGCAAAATTAAAAATGTATGGTATAAGAGGGGTTCTTTGCAGTTGGATGACTTCATTTCTTGAAAGTAGAAAACAATTTCTGTCAATACAATAAATGAAATTTATAGTCAATTTTGAGTTTCTGAATCTAAGTATGGTACCACAGGGTTCAATAATAACCCCTCTGCTGTGTATCCTCTATGTAAATGATATCATATCAGTAGTTACCATTCGTGTAGATGACTTTTCACAAGTAATATCTGCACCAGATACAAAATAGTAGAATAGTAATTTGAATATCACATTACTTCAATAACAACGATTTATTATTGAATGCAGAGAAAAAATAAGTAAGATTGTCTCTGTATTATTAATTTCATGATAAATATAAAAAAAATTCATCTTTTGGAAATAGGATCGAGATCGGATGTACAGGGTGTTAGTAAAGTAATGAAGCCTGAAAGTGTTTCATGAGAAAAGTAGGTACCATTGTTATTTTACACAAAGTTTTGTAAAATGATGAGTGATGTTTATAATCAAAAATAAGGCATGAATTCAAGTGTTCAGACCAAAATTCAAATTTTCACATTTAGATTAATCATATGGTTTATACGATTATTGGCAGCATTTCACAAAAAAATCAAGAATGTCGTTTCAGCAAAAGTTTCCATATAATTTATTTAAAATTGACCCTAAGTGGTTCATCTTGATTTTTTGTGGAATTCTGCAAATAACCGCAAAAAGAAATAATCACATAAACCACTACCACCGCAAAAAGTTTAAAATTACAGTCTTGTATTTTTCATTATCCTCTGAAGGAAACTTGTCGAATGATAAGCAACTATCGCGATCGCTATTATTCAAAGTAATAATCAATGGTTCAATTACAATGTTCATTTTAGTGTCGAGATCCCACATTTTGTCTTCTTCTTTTATTGTATGTCTAATGCATTTTTACCATGACTCGGATATGACATTTTCCATTGCAGTAGCTAGTAGGCCTTTTACCTTATCCATTTTAAAAGTCGAGTTTTCCCTCGTCACTTTGGTAAGGGGGGTGGCGGTGTACAATTATGTTCCTCTCACGAGCTTGCAATATTGAGTAATTGGACTTTTTACATATCATTTTCTTATGGTAAATATTTTTGAGGCAGCCAGTTTATGATATCAGCTTTTTTCCAGGCACTTCTTGGTGACTGCTCCAATGGGAAATGTTATTACAGCAAATGCAAGTTTGAACAAAATAAAATTGAGTTTAATTCACGAGTTTTTAAAATTCACTTTGAAAAGTATTCAAATTGATGTTTCAAATGTTGGGTTTTAATTTTTGAAGGGATTTGTTTCTAATTCACATATTGGCAACAATATCAAGTTAAAATAATTCATACGTACCTAGATATTCTACTTTAAAAAAGAAAAATTATTTTTACAAATCAACAATTAAGGCAAAATATAAATTATAGTTCAATATCACCTCCAAAAGCCACATAAACAACAGTTGTTTTGTTATTTATTTATATAGAGGAAGATAGGTTAGGTGCACAAAATGTCACATGTCACAGAATGTCTCGGAACTCGGAACATAAGTAAACAGAACAGGACGCCTCTGAAATATGTCATCTTTGTTTGTCTCATACAGATTCATTGTCCCCTATTAGCTATGACCGATGTTGCCAAATGGTGAAATATAAACGAATCCCGTTAAATGTTGAATGCATTATTTCATTCCTCTTTTTCAAGTATTTAAATAATTTTTTAAAGAAAAAGATTGAAATGATAAGTTTAAAATGCGTTGTTTTAGAGCTCTTTTATGAAAACTAGTTGATTTTCGTCAGGAGGTACATTCCCCATTGTCTGCTGTATTATGAGGCATTGTCATCGACAATGATAGAGTTTGGTTCAAGGTTTGGTAAAGTCTTGAAAAACCAACTTTTGCACGTCTATTTCCTCGTGGTACTCGCTAGTTTTCTTGGATTTGAAGAGTAACAGCAGTTTTCAAAAAAAACCTGAATTGCTGCCTTTATGAGTTATTATGAGCCTCCGTCCTTTGTCAACTGGCGTTTTAATGGTGTTGAGAGGCATTCAATAAAAGTTTGTCGGCAACTTTTTGTTTCTAAATCTTGTCATACTTTTGAAACAGTATGGCCTTGATTCAACCAAGTCTCATCTAGATAATAAATCTTTCTACCTTCAAGACGATACTATCGGATTTTTTTCAAGTAATTTCTCCGCCACAAAACAATTTCTTCTCTTTCTATAAGAGCACTCTTCCTACCTCTTTTCATAAATTTATTTTTCATTCGCTTCAATGTGTGCAACAAAACACGTTGTGATATTTTGGGCATCGATTCATTAAAACTTATTTTGGCTGCGACTTTTTTTTGGAGTTTGGGATTTCATTTAGGAAAAAGAATAAATGGAATTTCCTAAGAATAGCATATTTGGTGCAATCATCAAGCTGATTTTTTTTACCATCTGGAATATTATTTTTTCTGTTATAAAATTTCATCAAAACAGATTTGGAGCTATTTAATATCAAATGATGGCATTCACACCATGACCATGAAACCTTACGACTTGAAACTTTTGATTCCTGATCAACTGAGATAAAATACAACCATTTTTTTTTTGTATGTACTAATTAGAAACTACAACCGGAAACTACATTAATTCGATGGGACAATGTAGCTTGTTCAGCAAAAATCAGCAAAGTTCTGTTAAGAATAAATTACATCCTGTCAAATATAAATATGAAGTAAGGAATACCTAAAGTGGTTGCTTTATAAAACCACCATCATTTTATGGTATATTCTTATTTAGTGAATGATAACTTAAGTCTATCAAGAAAAATTCAAATTATATTAAGGGTAGTTCAACTTACCTAACAAAGGCAAAGTAAATGACAAATCCAATAGACAACACTAAAAGTGATATGGTGTGAGGCTTGTAAAAAAAATGTAAAGAAATATCATCCACTGGCTTCTCGTTGATAGTATTAAAACTATCAAACCTCGTCCTCGTCGAGGTAGTTTTTGGTTGAATGCTATTCATGTTTTCTGAAAGTACATGTGGTTTCTGAAATCTTGACCAGGATAACGTTGGCCCTTGACTGTTAATAAAATAAAACTGTTTTAGATAGTTGAAAAGGTCATTACAACAACCCAAATCATAGACCAACAATAATCATTGATCTTTGACTTTTGAATGAATTTTAGATGAATGAAATGATAGATATGTAATCACATATGACACAATCACATACTTATAACTTCCAGTGTTGCCAACCAATTGAGGCGCAAGCCCCTACGCTAATATAGAAAGTCTTCTATCAAGACAAAAATTCAGACTCTGTGACACCTTGATAAAACGAGAGGAAAGTTGATTATTATAGAATATAATATATTACTATTGACATCACTGAAATTTCACATCATATTTTAGTAGATTACAAAAATAATATGGGTCACACTGCGTCCTTCAAGCTGTGCTGGATTTGAATAAATATCTTAAAACGAAACTTACTTTGTTTCATCAATATCGCCAGGAAATTTTTTTTTATAGGTTTTTTATAGGAATAACGCATGGGTAAAAGACGGCAAATATTATTTTGCCCGGAGCGGCGAAATAGCTGGATCGGGTGCTGATTAAACTCATCCACACTAGAAATTCGAGCCACTGAATGTCAAGTGTTGCTAGATTATGGTGAACTGCCAATTACAAACCAAGAATATTTGAATCACATTCGGTTTCGTTCAAGTGAAATTATGAGGCATATTGACACTGACAAGAATAGTTTGTATGGTGATTTCAGTTCACGTACTGATAAGGGTTATCATTATAGTTCAGCTTTGGCTGGTTTTGACTGGTTCATATTAACCAATGTAAACACTATACCGTAAACTATCTTTTCAAAACAAAACAGCGAGTTTCTATCAAAATATAGTTCGTCAACAACGTACCGATCGTTATCGAGTAATTTCGTAATAACACAGGGTCCTTTATACCGTGGTTCTGCTCTTCCCGTCATTAGAAGTCTTATTCGCTTGAAAAACATCTACAACATGTTAGCCAACCGTGAACGTTTTCAAATTAGCATGCTTTTTGTCGTAACTTTCTTTCTGAGAGAGTTGGTGAGATCTAATTTGCTCAGATACATCACATTTCAAAACCGTTAGGTTGTGACGTTTCTCGTCAGAGATCTCTGCTGCAAGAAATGCGTCATTGATACCGCGTGGACGCCTCGTAAGGCATCTTACCTATAGTGGAATTAACCGTAGAATTAATTCCTCACTTCACCTGGCTAACAGCCTCGTCCCACCGATTTTCTTCTGTCGTGGATGCCATCAGAGACGAAAGAATGGAGCGATTCATCCTTTCTACTTGCCCGTTCGCTCACGGAGTTGCCGTAGCGCATAATATCCGTTTGATCCCCGAGTCGCGATAGAAATTCGTGAATTTCTTACATGTAAATGCCGAGCCCCTATCACATATCAATCTCCTCGGTACTCCAAACATCTTGAATATTTGATTCAAGAAACTTATGGTCGGTCCCGACTTTGTGTTTGCTTTCATAAAAACGAATTTAGTAAATCCATCAACTACAACTACAAGATAGGCATTTTTCTTATCACCCGTGACAAAAGGTCCAAGGTGATCGGCATGTAAGGTGTCCATTGGAACTTCTTCTCGTGCGATAGGGTTCAGCCTACCTGGTTTCTTGCCGGTCGGTATCTTATATTGTACATACAGTCCGAACAAGAATTTATGTAATTTCTCACGTAGTTTCTCATCGAAGGAAACCAGTAACGAGTACTAACAGCTTCTAGGGTTTTGTTCACGGCAAAATGTCCAGCTCCATCGTGATAATACATTAAAATTCTTCTTCGAGCTGTTTTGGGTACCTACTACCCACATGGGGCCTTTCGGTGTCAAACGATAGAGACGTTTTTCCTTTAAACAATAATTTTGACGAATTTCTTTATCTGCGAGGTCGTTGGAGGGTTTGGATAGGCACTCTATCAGCTCTTTACATCTGCTGTCCTTGAGCTGTGTTGAAAGTACCCAGTCGTCTTCGTTGACGCTGACCAACATGACACTAATATCATTAAGAGCATTATCATCTCCTATGGGGAGAGGGAATTACAATCTGTTACAACCTTGAATCGAATTTCAACCAGATAGTTTCTGAATTTCTTCCATGAACACACTAATGCTAACGTTTTCAATTCATAGGAATGGTACTTTTGCTCTTTCCTCGTAGTAGCTCGACTGAAATATTGTACTGGTTTCAATACACCGTCGGCCTGTTTTTGGAGGAGTATCCCTCCCAGTCCGACTTTGCTAGCATCGCGATGAACTTCTGTACATGCTTCTCGGATATAGATTGCGAGAACCGGTCGCACGACAAATTTTTTTTTCAACGTGTTGAAGGCTACTTCTTGATCTCTTCCTCACGTGAATTTTGAATCTTTTTTTGTGAGACATGATATTGGTCTAGAAATGGCCGCAAATTCAGGAATAAATTTTCGGAAGTAGCTAGCCAAACCTAGGAAACGTCTTACATCATGCACGTTGGTAGGAGTTGTAAAACTCGAAACAGCACTGTTCTTATCAACTTGTCCCGGACGGATGCCCTCTCCAGATATCTCATGACTAAGGTATTCGATCTTCTGTTGTAGAAAACGGCACTTACTCAGTCTGAAGGTCATTCCGGTATCTTGATATATTTTTAAAACTACTTCAAGGTTTTTAATACCTTCGGGATCGTTCTAGAAGTAATCAGGACATCATCTAGGTAGGCTAAGGCAGTATCGAAACATAAAGGACCCAAAATATGATTCATCATTCTTTGAAATACGGCAGGCGCATTAACAAGTCCAAACGGCATCCTAAGGTACTCGTAATGGCCGTCAGGTGTGACAAATGCTGTTTTCGGAATAGATTATTTATCCCAAAGCGATATGGTGATACCCTGAAGCGAGGTCCAGACTGGTGAAGTACTTGTTACCTTTGATGGAGTCAATACGGCGGATTGGATATTTATTCTTGATTGTTTTTCGATTGATGGCACGATAATCAACGCACATCCGTTCTTCACCATTCTTTTCCCTGACAAGAAGGATTGGGCTGACATACGGCGAATCAGATTCTCGAACAATCCCATTATCAACTAACCCCTGTACTATCTCCCTGACTTTTTCTCTCACGGTATACGCCATTCGGTAAAGGCGGTACGTCACAGGAACATCATCGCTCAATTGATAGTCATCTCCGTAACATTCTTTCTACCAACTTCGTCGAGGGTTAAAGCAAAACATCCTCTGCATTCGCCACTACTAGCATTCGTAACGCATCGTGGTAAAATGTGAAATTGGCCTGGCTAATCTCTATACCGAATATCGACAAAAACGTCATTAAAATCATCTTCACTATAAGTTGATATATGACCTATGTGAAAAGGAGGTATAACCGTAGTTTCTCTGACTAATAGATTCACTTTCCTTACGGGCAATTTGCTCAAGTCTAATGACACTTTCTGACTGCGATTGAATAATCTAATTTGGCTACCTTAAACAACAACCGTTACATTTACGTGATTTATGAATGGCTGCCCTACAATCATAGAAACATTTTGAACGTTGTCTGGGACCACGAGTGCTTCGACGTTCGCTATCGCCAAGTCAACTGCCAGAGTGATTGGTACGTTCGTGCGAACACTAACCGACCCATCTCCATAAACTCGTAAACACACCATAGTAGGTTCACCCTGTAGGTTTAAGTTTTGAAAGTCTGACATTTTTATCGTAACTGCTGCACACCAGAATCATGCAATCAATGAAACAGCATGTATTCGAATCTTGATGAATGATTTGCAACTAAAAAAACATCAGTAGACTTACCCTCGTTTGATTTATTTCCATGCTTACGGAATTGAGATCGTTGTCCTACCGTACACTTGGTTTCTTCGTGGCCCAATAAATGACACCGATGACATTCCAGACGTTTTGGGGGACATTCCGACTGGTAGTGGCCCATCATCTTGCAGTTGAAACATTGTACGATTTTACTTTCCGTAGTTCTTCTATTTGGTAGACGCTGTTTGGAAGACAATGATTGCCTCAAGTCTGGTTTCAGCACTCGTCTAATACTACTTATCACATTACCCGACTTGTCGTCCCGTAACATGGAGAGATATTCTTCGTACAGGGCCTCAGGTGTTACGTAACGACCTGCCCGAGCACCGTTTTGAATCGTAACTTCGGTGATTCCGTCGATGATACATGACACTGCATGTCTTCCTGATATTTGGCATGTTCTAAGGAGTTCCATTTTAGTGAAATAATAATTAGTCATGGTTTCATCTGGCTGTTTTATCCCGTTCAACATTTTCCTCAAAACTAGGGCATAGTCCACGTGATCTGGGAACGTTTTTATAATCAAGGCTTTATAGTCCCGCCAACAACTAGGATAATTTGATAAACCATTATACCACGATCTTGCCATTCCTGAGAGTCGAGACTGCATATGATAGATCGTTGTGACGTCATCCCAGTTATTCAACTCTTTCAACTGTTCAATTTTGTCTAACCACTTTCCGGCTGACAAATTTTCATTTTTCGGGTTGAATTCGGGAATACAATCACTCCTAACTGACAAACGCCGATTATCTGATTGTGTTCCTTGTTTCACCAATATATCTAAAAGATTTTCCAACCTGTCAACATTGGACTCAACTGAATTTCTCGAATCTTGTTCATTATTTCGTAACTGTCGTTCTAATGGCACTGGTTCATGGATATTCACTTGATATGTACCCACCCGGAGATTTCTACCGGAATCATCATGAGATCGATACCTCCAGGTTGTATATTCGCTTGGAGGTGTCTTTGGCACTCGTTCCGAAGGAGTACTCTTTCGCAACTCCGTGAAATATTTTCTATCAGTTCGCTTTTTGTTCGGTCTGCAAGATTTGCCAGAACTACTTGAGCTACTTGTGGAACTTCTTCTCCTCCTAGGCATTTTCGAAATATCTTAGTAGTATACGTAACAGTGCAGTCACTAGACGTCAATAGAAATTTTACACAAGAAGTTATTCCGTAGCAGTATACGTAACACTACAGAAAGACACTAGACGTACACAAGAAACTTTAATGACCACCCCACACCTGAACTGTAAATACTATACAAAACAAAACAGCGAGTTTCTATCAAAATATATTCACCAAATTAATTTAACAAAACTAACAATCTCTGTTCGCAACAACGATCTGCATATGACTAACTTTACCCAAA